TATCACTGTTAGCTCTAGGGGTACTTCTGCAAAGAGAGTTTTTTAAAAATATCTTCACTAAGTATCCCTATGATGAAATCTTTTTGGTATTTTTCATTTTTTAGTATTTCTGGGCCAGTAATTGAATAATAGTTTCATAGAGATATTATGAAGTGAATAGAAATAACTGTTGGAAGTAATGGTAACCAGATTGCATGAAACATTTAGAAGGTAAAATGGCAATCTTAAGAATATAAAAGTGGTATCTTCCAGTAATACCAGTAGAACTGATTTTCTTCCGCATGGCCTTTCTGGCACATATTTTGTATGTATGTATACAACAAAAGTTGTGTATTGTATGTATACATACATCCAACTTTTTGTAACAAACAAAGTACAAACTGTAATAGAGTTAAACTTGGCCCATGTGGGATCCAGGGATTGGCAGGGAATGAAATTCATTGGGTTGCAAGACTCACTATTTAAAAAGTAGTTCAGGATTGATCTTACAACTTTTCTAACAATTTATAAAGTGTTCTGCTTATTTGCTAAGGTCACAATTTGAAGAACTCTGTGCTGAACTTCTGCAAAAGATAGAAGTACCCCTTCATTCATTGATGGAACAAACTCAGCTCAAAGTAGAAGATGTGAGTGCCGTTGAGATAGTTGGAGGTGCTACACGAATTCCAGCCGTGAAAGAAAGAATTGCCAAATTCTTCGGAAAAGATATTAGCACAACACTCAATGCAGATGAAGCAGTAGCCAGAGGATGTGCGTTACAGGTACTTTTTCAGCCCTGATTTTACTTGATGCACATCCCTTAAATAGTTTCCATTTTATGTCATCGTGGTGGTGGGTTAATAAAATAAACAGAGCCCTGTGCCTAATTAGATAGCAGAAGGAAGTTACTTTTAAATAAACCCCAGAAGGCTGTGGGGAGACAAGGATGTTCAGATCTGGAAGGTCCAGTAAATTTAGATTAAAAGAACTACCGAGCTGGTTTTTCTCAAATTGGGGATCAGAAACAGTTGTGATTCTGAGGGGATCACAGAAAACTCAGCTGAAACACTGTAATTAGCTTGTGGTGGTGACAGTTGTTACAAAGCACATAGGGAATTTAGAATGGTAATCTTGTGTAATAAGGACCTGATTCGCGGAAGTTTTCAGAGTTAAGAGTATTAGTTAACAAATAGTTTTAGAAAACAGATAACCTTCCCTTACCCCCAAATTGATTTTTAATCTGATTATCAAATAAAAAGGCAGCCCAAAAGCATGAAGTTAATTTGGTGAAGCAAAAGCACCAAATGTGGAAGTTATTGGTTAAAAA